GCGATGATCACGAAGATCTTCGCCTTCAGCTGATCCGATCCACGCCCGACCCTTGTCGCGCGGCACTTTCGCTGCAGCTTCGAATTTGGCGAGGACCTCTTCTGATGGGAGCGCGTCGGTGGAGAAGTTCTGCAATCCCAGCTCCAGTTTGCGATCCTGCAGTTTGAAACTCAACCCCTTGGCTTTCCCCTTCTGCAACACCTGAGACTGCAGTTCTGCGAACTGTTTGACTGCTTCAGCCATGCCAGTGAACTCGTTGGGCGCGTGGACTACCTGCACTGGCGCCGACGGCGCGGGCGCTGCCAACTGCGCGCACTTCCCCTGCATCTTCAACGCAAACACAACCTGCGCGGGCACAATCTTCCACGCGCGCCACTTATCACCATCCTCACTGGCATACGGGGTGGAATTGACGGGGATGGATGCCTTGATCATTTCCCTCATGTGAGGGTCTTCGAAATCTGCCGGGGAAATGCTACCTGCTGTCTCCGCCAAAAGACGCGGCAATGGACACGTAATAGAACAGATCGTGCTTCGTCGCAGGCATTGCGTCGACATTGATGACGAAATCGACCCAGTCACGCACCTGCTCTGCACTGGCACCATTGAAGGCGCCGCGGGGAGCCGAGGCGACCATCGCGGCAACATCGCTGGACGAGAAGGCCATTGCGACAGCAACCTGTGAGAGGCTGGGCAAGGTCTGAGCTGAGAGGGCAGATTGCTTGAGGTGTGGTCGTCTGAGCCAGCGCGGCAGAACGCTCGAGACAAGAGACAACAACCTGCTAGTGCGCGGTCTGCGCCGCGGGACAAAACGTAGCCAGCGCTGATGCGATGCCTATCCCCCTCCGCAGCCTGAGTGCACCACCCAGGCCTCCGGAGGGCGTCATAAGCGCGCCTGCCGAGCGCTGCGTGCGATGCTGCCCCGGTCGAGAACATGCCTTGCCGCGCTGGCCCCCTGCAGCTGGACGGTGCTGGGCTTCCGTCAGAGATAGGATTTCCGTGACGCCACCGCGCCGCCGACGCAATTCAACTCTGTCGCCGCGGCCGCCGGAGGACACAGAGCAGCTCTGAATGATGAGATGGACGAGTGAGCGCCCATCTTTGGGGCGAGCGCGCCCACCTGGACGCGGCGCGAAGGGGCTTACGCTCGCCCTTCGCGACAGAATGCTGTCCGTCGTCGCGGAGCAGGCGAATCCGTCTCCAAACGGATGTTTCAATTTCTTTCCTGGTGGGTGGCGTGGGGGACCCCATCCTTTATGTGACGTGGCGCGCCGCCTTGGCGGGCAGCGCCGTCAAGGCGACGCGCTGGAGGGCGCGCGCGCACAGCTCGACTGCAACCCCACGCTAATTCGGCACCCTGCTTAGTCTGCCGGCGTGATTCTCCGGCTGGGGCCGAAAATCTTCCGAAAACCGACGGGGCGACTTCCCATGGGAAATCCGCCCAGTTGCACGCTCAGCCGCCGAATTTTTGCCACGCCAGAATTTAATTCTGAGTTCGCTTGTGAAACGGCGTCAGCATGGACATGCCGATTACGCGCCGTTTGGGACGCAGGCCCCCGGGGGTCGGTCGAGGACTGGCGCGCCGCACAAGTGCGCAGCACCCCAGCCCCCGTCCAATCCTGGAGCCGTTTTTTAAAAAAAAATGAAGCGTAAACTTGTTTCTGGCACAGGAAAATCATGCGGGGCAGGCCCGCTGTCGCTGCCCCCCCCCCTCTCCTCTGCTCGCGCGCCTCGGCGCCTGCATGGCGGGCGTGCGGTCCTCGGCGCCGGCCCGCTTGTTCTGGAGCGGCGGAAGTATTTCTCGGCGCGGCACCTGTGTCACCAGGTCGTGCGTCGCGCCTCTCGGCCCTGCTCGTGCGCGAGGCCACGGGGCCCTGGCAAAGCGCGACCGCGGTCGTCTTCTGCTCGGCCCGGCCTTCTGACCGCAGGGAACGTGTGGGCCAGGCCCCCTGTGAGAAGCCGCGCGCAGGGTCACCGCCTTCTCGCGGGCAAACCCAGGATCCCTGCCTTCTCGCGGGCACACCCAGAGCCCCTGCCTTCTCGCGGGCAAACTCAGGCCACCGTGTTTCTCACTCTCTAGCTCTGCCTTGCGCGGGCAAGTTCAAGGTCCCTGCCTTCTCGCGGGCACACCGAGCCCCTGCCTTCTCGCGGGCAAACTCGGGCCGCACTTCTCCCGGGCTGCCGGGTTCCCTGTGGCATGCTGCGTGCAGGGTCACTTCGCTGCCTTCTCGGGCAAACCTAATGGGGTCTTGCCTTCTCGCGGGCGCACCCAAAAGTCCCTGCCTTCCCGCGGGAAGCTTTATTACTTTCGGGTCGCTGCCTTCTCGCGGGCTTTACCTCGTGCGACGGCGTGTAGGTTCGCTGCCTTCTCGCGGGCGGCAAACCCAGGCCTGTCGAGCTACGTTCTCCAGCCCTTGTCGCGGGAGGATCGGGCTTCCAGGCTTCTTTCTCTCAGGTCGCCACCTCCCGCGACGCGCCCGGGGCGCGCGCTCCTCGTTCGGTTCCCAATCGGTGCGGCGATTCCCGCGTCTCCCCTTTTCTTGCCGCCGCCGCGGGGCCGTTCTCTCTCTGGTCCTCGCCGCCAGGCATTCCCAGTCTGTGCCGGCCACTCTGAGCGCGACTGTGCACTCGGGCGGTGTCCGCTTGCCCAGTATTGCATTCTATCCTCCTTCCTTTCTGCGTTCTGGTGCCCAGGCGCACCTAGTTTCGCAGTCTGAGCGCGACTTCGCGCTCGTGGGCGTCCGCGCGCCCAGAATTGCCTTTTGTGCTCCTTTCTGCGTTTTGGTGCCCAGGCGCACCCAGATTCGCAATCTGCGCGCGACTTCGCGCTCCTGGGCGTCCACGCGCCCAGAGTTGCATTCTGAGCTCCGTCCTGCGTTCTGGTGACCAGGCGCACCAAGATTCGCAGTCTGAGAGCTTCTGGGCGTCGGCGCGCCCAGAATTGCATTCTGAGCTCCTTTCGGCGTTCTGGTGACCAGGCGCACGTTCTGGTTCCCTGTCGCACCCAGGTTCGCAATCTGAGCGCTTCTGGGCGCCCGCGCGCGCAGAATTGAATTCTGTGCTCCCTTCTGCATTCTGGTGCCCAGGCGCAGCCAGATTCGCAATCTGAGCGCGACTTGGCGCTCCTGGGCGTCCGCGCCCCCAGAATTGCATTCTAAGCTCCTTTCTGCGTTCTGGTTCCGTTGCCAGCGACCTCATCATGAGAGGCAGGTGTGTGGAGGTCGCCTGTGTCTGTGGCGTTCTTTGGGCCTCGCGCCGAATTGCATTTGGGGCGTGGTCCTGCGCATTCCCATGCAAGCGCGGCCAGTATGGCTCTTGGCGCGCGCTGGCGTGCAGGCGTGCGCGGAAGCGGGACACGTCTTCGTTCGCGTTCTCAACAAAAGCCTCACGTTGTGGCACAGTGGCGCTCATTTTGGCTTCAGCGTTTGTTTCTTGCGCGGTCTCGGGTTCAAAACGCAATTGTTGATTGCGTGTGTTCTGGCACGGGTGCTGAGGAATATTCTAATGTGTCGCAACCTCGCCGAATCGGCGTGCGCAAGGTGCAAAGCGCGGTCTCGCGTTTTTGCCTGGGGCGCAGACGCGCCCAGCATCCCAAGCGGCGCGATTTCGCGTCTGTGGGCGCGCATTTCGTGACCGGCGATTCGTGGGGAATCCGCCCGTTTACGGGAAGTTGCGGCCCAAAATGTTTGATTGGTTCGATTCGCGTCATCGGGCGCTAGAGAGCCGGGGTCTGCGCGCCGGCTGCACATTGGTAAGGCTGCACTCGGCCCACCGCGCAGTCCCGACCGCGCGAGCCAGACGGAGTGGCTACGGACACTCTGGGGCATTCGGGGTCGGATGTGTGCAGGCGGCAGAAGCTGGTCCTTGATGGGGGGGCATTGGCTAACCCCCCACCTGCACACAAACCGGAGCCGGAACGGGTCAACAAACGGCGACGAACCAGTAAACAAACGGCGTCGGAACCGGCAACAAAAACGACAAAACGGAACCAGTAAAAAAACGGCCCTGTCGTGTCCAGGGCCCACTAATGGCAGGACTGGTGCATGTGCATAGCTCTCCTCCTTGGCATGGTGCATGTGCAGGACTGGTGCATGTGCATGTGCATGTCAGGCTGTGCATCCCAAGGATCGTTTCGTGCGCCATCCTGGCGTGGCCAAGGAGGCATACAGTAGGAGTGGGCAGGACTGGTACATGTGCACAGCTCTCTTCGCCCGAGGGAGAGGCGGCCCCGGGCGGCCTCGCCGCCCGAAGCGCCTCCATCGGCGGAGCGCCCCTCTCGGGCGCCGCCGGGCGCTGGCCGGGGCGTCGAGGTAGCCCCAAGGACTGCGGCCGGCGCTGAAGAGATAGCGTGCAGCTCCTCCTCCTCCTCCTCCTCCTCCTCATCCTCCTCCCCTCCTCCTCCTCCTCCTCCTCCTCCTCCCTCCTCCTCATCCCTCCTCCTCCCCCTCCTCCTCCTCCTCCTCCTCCTCCTCCTCCTCCTCCTCCTCCTCCTCCTCCTCCTCCTCCTCCTCCTCCTCCTCCTTCCTCCTCTCCTCCTCCTCCTCCTCCTCCTCCTCCTCCTCCTCCTCCTCCTCCTCCTCCTCCTCCTCCTCGCCGCGATGGGCCTCTTCTGTGTACGCCATCCCCCTGCCAGCGTTGCTTCGGTGCATGCTGTCTCCCCAAGGTTGGGGGGGAGATAGCGTGCCAGAAGCCGGCCGGCGGCGCCCCATCGCGAGTCAGCTTTGCACTGCTCGGGGGATCTTCTGACCCGGGTCAGTCCAGACTCGAGTCAGTCAGGCCTCACGGAATCCTGCGGGACCCTGCACCCAAACCAGGGTCCGTGCGCAGGATCCTGCAAGGTACTGCAGGATCCTGCACAGGAGCCCGGGACAATGCGGCCCTGGCCCTGCAGGATCCTGCTGCCCCCCGTTTGCACTGACCCCCGCCTCAAGGCACCCGAACTGCCAGCCGCACCTTGGCCCCGGCCAGTCGAGGAGGCGGCGGGGTAGCCCTGGGGGCTCCTTCGAGCAGGCCGCCCAAGAGCTCCACTCCGACAGCACCTCGGCCGCTTCCCCCCCCCCTCGAAGGCCTTCGTGCAGCGTCTCTCGCTCCCGAGGGGCTGCTCCTCCTCATCCTCCTGTTGCCGTTGCTGCAGGCATGGGTGTTGACACACAACGCTGCCATCCCTTCTCCTCCTCCTCCTCCTCCTCGTCCTCCTCCTACTCTTCCTCCTCCTCCTCCTCCTCCTCCTCCTCCTCCTCCTCCTCCTCCTCCTCCTCCTCCTCCTCCTCCTCCTTCTCCTCCATATCCTCTGCCCCTTGCTCCACGCCGTGCGCCAAGGATCCGGCCCTGGGGGAGGACGCGTAATGCGGCATCCAACGGCATCACGGTGCACGGACCGTGCTGACAGGGCTGCTGGATGCAAGGTCTGGATCGGGAAACGCCGACCAACGGAACGTGGCAACGCGGCGGGCGTCAGCCCCCCCCGCACGGAGGGGACTTCGCCGAACCGCCCCGGATGGAGATCGCGCGAGGAGGCAGAGGCCCCGACGCACGCCACTGGGCAGTGAAACTGGCTGCACTTCATGCCCGCGGAGCCGTTCTTGCGCTCGAAGAAGAGCGGTGGACAGCTCATGCCCAGGCCGTTCGGGGACACGATGACCTGCCGAGTGAGGTGCTTGATGCCGCCGCACTTGTCGACGTCGATACCGTGGGGGGGAGGCGGAAGAGCGGGTGGGAGAGGAGGAGGAGGAGGAGGAGGAGGAGGAAGAGGAGGAGGAAGAGGAGGAGGAGGAGGAGGCGGGAGGCACGGCAGGACGCGGAGGGGCGAACAAACGGGGGCGAGGGGAGGCGAAGGGAGGAGGCAACGACGGCAAGAGAGAGATCGCAGAGCTTCGGGCCGCGCGCCCGCCCGGGGGCCCAGGCTGCGAGCGCCCGACCGGCGTTCCCCCACACTGGCGGAAGGCGCCGCATGGGCAACAGGGGCAGTGGTCCTATCGGGTCGGGCGAAAGGGGGGGGATAGCAAAGGGGGGGTTTGAGAATCAGCTCACGTAGCTGATTTTCCCGGCGCCTCCCGGCGCCGGAGGCGGCTATGTATCGAGGAATGGGCCCCTCGGTGAGGCCGAAACCAGCTGCATGCAGCAAATTTCGTAACCCCCCCTTTCCCAATCCCCCCCTTTCGCCCGGCCCGATCCTACCCCCCCCCCTCTGACGCGGTCACAGGGCACCCGTCAGGAAAGCCTCCGCGAGGGTCGGCCCCGGCGACCGCGGCCTGCCCGGGGGCGCTCGGCGGCGCTCGGCGGGCTGCCCGCAGCGCCCGCGCCCCCTGGCGAGCGCGGCGCGGGCGCAGAGCAGCGCGCCGCCACGGCGGGCGCCCGGGGCGGCGGAGGATGTGGCGGGCCCCTCTTAGCCACGCGCACAAGGGGGTGGGGGGAGGGGGGAGGGCTTCTTAGAAGCACCCCTGCTTCTTAGAAGGCGCGGGCCTTATCTATCGATGTAAGGCCGGCGCCTTCTAAGAAGCAGCCTGCTTCTAAGAAGCCCTCCCCCTTCCCCCCACCCCCTAGTGCGCGCCGCCAACCCTCTGGGCCAGTGCCCGGCGGCCATGCCGAAGGGGGGCGGAGGCTAGCACGCGGCGGGCCAGGCGGGCATCGCAGGGCCGAGTGCTGCGGACGCGAGCCTCGCGGGCGCGTGCAGGCCAGAGCTGTCGCCTGTCCCTGCACGGCAGAAGCTAAAACAGACAAGCGTGCTGCGAGCCCCTGGCTATAGTTACCCCAGGAGCCCGGCCTCTGCAGGAGCCGATGCGAATGCAAAACCCTCGAGGCGCGTAACCTCGATGGGGCGAGACGGACCCATCGAGGCGCCTGCAATACGGCCCTGGCAACGGTGCCGGCATGGAGCGCGGGGTGCCTGCGTGCATGTCGTTCGGGCTTGGGCGAGCGAGACGAGAGGCGCCAGTTTGGCTCATGGAGGCCCAAAGGTCTGCGTCGATGATGGTTTGCTCGGCGTGGAACGCGTGGACCCCATTGTTCGAGTTGGTGGCGTTGCTGCGCGAGGGCGGCCTAACCCGCGGCCGCGCCAGTGAAGGTTGTCCCGAACCGCCTGACGGCTTCGGCAAGCTGCTGCTGGTCAGCCTCCGGTTCTCTAAACCTCGCTCGACCGGCGACACCATTGCCTCCAGCTTGTGGTATCCACTCCTCGGCAGAGAGTTCGTCGCAATCCGTCGCCGCGTGCTGCTCGTTGGCTGGCACGGGTGGGGTGCCGGTGCCTTCAGTTCGTCCCGCGCCGCCCACCGTGTCGCGGTCGGCAGCACCCTCTGTGGCTGGCCCCTTGGGGCGTGCCCTGGCACAGGCTTGGTGGCAGTGGCCGCGCGGCGGAGCGCTGGGAGTCGCCACTCTTCTCCTGGACAGTCGGTGATGATGGGTGCCATGACGGCGAGCGCTACAGTGAGGGTCTTGACCTAAGGAACCCTAAATAAGACACGAGGCCCCTTTTTTCCATGAGTGAAACTTCGATTTCGGATCGAAAACATAAGGAACACCTGAGGCAAGCTGTGAAACACTTAAGGAACACCGAGCCCCTCCCCAACGAAAAGGGTTCCTTCTTCAGGGCCCCGACTGTAGAGGCTCATCGTGTGTGAAAGTCTGCTGCAGTGAGCGGTCGACTTCTTCTAGGATGTGGAGCGGAATGCTCATGGTGCACGGCGTCTCGTCACCCTCTCTGACAGGCGCGGTGGTACCAGGGGACTTTCCAGCTTGGCGCATCGAGGCTGATGAGAAGGGCCCCGCCTTTTTCCTGGTGGGCATCGGCGTCGGCCGCGACTCCTGGTTATGCACGAGCGAGCAGTGCAGCATGGTGTAGCTGACATGGTTTTGCCCGCACAGTCTCAATAGCTCGCTCCTGAGCCTGGGTCGGTCGGAGCGGTGTTGTTGGCAAACGGTACCGAGGTCGGCATGATGAGTACAAACGAGTTCGTTGCATGCAGCGACTGCGCGGTCGACGCCATTACTGGCCTGGATGGCGGCGACGCAAACTCCCATCCGACAGAGGTTGGTATCCTGTCGATTTGTTGAGATAGCCTTTTGTCGGCTCTTACTTGGTGGCTTGGGCTGCCGTGGGGCACGGCACGCACGGCGAGGGTCCTTCGGAACCATGGCGCGCGCGCGGCAGTGCAAAGATTCGGCGCCAAGCTGTCACGGCCTGGGATGGGCCGCGTCCGGTCCCGCGGGGCCAGGACAGGAACCGACGGAGGGCGAGCGAGGAGGGGGCGAAAAGGACGCCAAGGCAGGCACCGCGGGACGAGGAGGAGGAGGAGGAGGAGGAGGAGGAGGAGGAGGAGGCGGAGGAGGAGGAGGAGGAGGAGGAGGAGGAGGAGGAGGGGGAGGGGGGAGGGGGGGGGGAGGGGGGGGGAGGGGGAGGGGAGGAGGAGGGGAGGGGGAGGGGAGGGGGAGGCGGAGGAGGAGAGGAGGAGGAGGAGGAGGAGGAGGAGGGAAGGAGGAGGAGGAGGAGGAGGAGGAGGAGGAGGAGGGAGGAGGAGGCCAACGCCGAGAAGCTGTGTTGGGGGAGAGGGCGGGCAGCAGAGGCGCGGCGGCGCGGGGGAGCGGGCCAGGCAGGAGGGGAGCAGCAGCAGGAGCTCAGGGGCAGGAGGGGGGGGGGGAAGAGCAGGGAGAGGAGGGTTCGGCAAGGGGAGGGAGGGGCACCAGGGTGACTGGGGTCGTCGTCTCCTCCTCCTCCTCCTCCTCCTCCTCCCCGCCCCTGGGGACGGGAGGGGGTGGAGGAGGAGGACGGGGAGAGAAAAAGCAGGGGGAGGATAAAGGAGGAGGGAGGAGAGCGATGGCCGAGGAGAGGCGCCGCCTCACCAACACCCCTCATCCTGCTTCTTCCTCCCCCGCACCGTCCCCCCTCATCCTCGTTATCCTCCTCATCCTCATTGCCTTCTTCATATTCTGCTTACGCATCATCACCCGCATGCTCCGCATCAGTATCCTCATCCTCAAAATCATCATCATCATCATCATCATCAGCAGCATCAGCATCAGCTTCAGCATCAGCGTCATCATCATCATCATCAGCAGCAGCAGCAGCATCAGCATCATCATCATCAGCAGCATCAGCATCATCATCATCATCATCATCATCATCATCATCATCATCACCATCACCATCACCATCACCATCACCATTACCATCACCATCGTCAGCATCCACGTCGTAAGACTCAGTGACAGCCTCATTAATGATCACTACACATCACATCATCACGATCACCACCATCATCAGCAACAGCATCAACCGCAGCATCATCACCAGCCGTATGTTCATCACGCGCATCACAATCATCATCAGCATCAGCATGAGCATCAGCACCAGCAGCATCGTCGACACTGCCCAGATTAGAATCACCATCGTCGTCACCACCATCGTCATCGTCATCATTATCAGCATCGTCATCATCGTCATCATGAGCAGCATCAGCATCGTCATAATCAGCAGCATCAGAAGCAGGAACATCCTTCTCAGTGTCGTCATTGTCATCTCATCGTCATCATCATGATCGTCATCATCCGCATCAGCAGCAGCAACATCATTATCGTCAGCATCCTCATCATCATGAGCAGCATCAGCATCAGCAGCATAACCATATTCATCATGACCATCATCATCAACATCATCGTCACTGTCCTCGGTAGTATCATCGTCACCACCATCCTCATCAGCATCGTCATCATCATCATCATCAGCATCGTCCCCATCATCAGCATCATAATCACGATCAGGGGCATCATCAGCATCATCAGCAGCATCATCATCGTCAGCATCCTCATCGGTACCATCAGTAGCAGTCACATCAACACCATCATCATCATCATCAGCATCATCATCATCATCATCAGCATCAGCATCATCATCATCATCATCAGCATCAGCATCATCATCATCATCATCATCATCATCATCATCATCATGAGCAGCACCATCAGCATAATCAGCAGCATCAGCTTACTCATCATAACCCTCATCATCAGCATCAACATCATCAGCATCATCGCCATCGTCATCGGCATCACCATCACCACCGTCACCACCATCATCACAAGTATCGTCGTCGTCGTCGTCATCACCATCATCACCGCCATCATCGTCATCATCAGCATCATCATCATCAGCATCATCGTCATCATCCTGGGCGTCCTCCTCCTTGTCGTCATTCCCTCGCCTCCTCCTCCCTCCCTCACCCTGGCGGAGGCGGAGCAGCAGCAGCAGCAGCCACAGGCAGAGAGGGCCTCCGACGTCCAGGGGGCACGCATCGTCGCAGTCGACCTTCGCGGACCGCTGCATCCCGTCGGTAGTGCAGGGTCCTCGATCGAGGACCGAGGGAGGAGGAGCCAGTTGCAAGGATCCAGGAGGAGGACGATCAAGGATCGAGGAGGATCGAGGAGCGTCGAGGATCGAGGAGGATCGAGCAGGATCGAAGAGGAGGGTCGACCGAGGATCGAGGAGGAGCGAGGAGCGGGAAGAGAGGGTAGAGGGGGGTGGGACGCAGAAAGAAATACTGATGCTGTGTGCTGTTGGAAGTGCACGTCCGACACGAACACCTGACACTGACATCTCATAGCA